CCGGGGATTGACTGGCAGTGCGGGAGCAGTGGGTGTCACTGGCGTTACGGGAGCGGATGGTATCACCGGCAGTACGGGTAGGTTTTTTTTAGGACAGAAAACAAGCAATCAATGTTTTTTCTAGTAAAAGTAGAAGTTAATTGATCTCTTTTTTCCCTTTTTTATTCCGATGTGTTTCAACTATCTAGTCCGATGCAAAATCTTAATCACATTTATTGTTAAACGTTCATAAGCATGTTTTAAATTCCTAGCCCTGTTGTTAATACTTTCAGGTAAATGCAATTTTAGCCCACCATCATCAGATGGTTTGATTGTGTAAATCATCATTTTTCAGTGTTCCGTCCGTTTGTTATCCTGTCCGTCCTTAAACAGATCTTGCTATTTTTCAGATAATGCTGGAGGCATACATGTCAAATTTCCATACGTCTGTTATCCCGTTCGTCCTTAAACATGTGTTACTATTTCTCAGATAATACTGGAGGCATACATGTCAACTTTCAGTCCGTCTGGCCTTAAACATGTCTTGCTATATGTCAATTTCTCGTCCGTTTGGCAATCCGTCCGTCTGTCTTTAAACATATCTTGCTATATCTCAGACAGCAATGGAGGAATATATGTCGACTTTCACATGGAAGCTTCCAATGATTCATAGATATCGAATTTTGGGACTGATCGGAAACAAAATGGCCGACAGGAGGCCATCTTGAATTTTGGGAGTTGATTTTTTTGCCACAAAATCTCAGATATTGCAGGAGTGGTCTTTTTCAAACTTCACATGTGGGCTTCCCATGATCCTTAGTTTTGCAAAACCAAGATGACCGACAGGCAGTCATTTTAATTTTGATAGATAAAGGTCTTTAGCACTGTTTCTCAGAAAGAACTTTAGAGATCTTTCCTTTCACATGAAACTTTTCAATGTTCATAGTTATACATATCTACTTCTAGACTGGTTGAAAATTAAGATTGCCGCCTCGGCCATCTTGAATTTTCGTAATCGTATGTATTACAAATGTATGTTTTCACTGTTCAGTAATTATATGGAAAGTTTAAAAATCACAAACACGTAGATCAATCCTTTAGACGCTTTATACATAACTACACCTGGATACAAGTTATGACGTCATTAATAACAATCACAATGTATATTGTGACGTAAATGATTATATAAACAATATTTATTTTAAAACAAATATAAAACAAGTTTTCTACCTTCTTTTAATCACTATTATTTTCCCGGATGGAAAAGCGCAGAGGGTCTTCACGTGAGAGGAACCGTACTACCCGTAGAAAACCTTTTCTTTAGTTTGAAGAGAAATATATATATATATAATTTTGACAGCTCAATTTTGTTATCACTACTTCCCAAGAAGTACTAGACAGATCTTTCTCATATTTCAAATTTAGATTCTCATTTATAACATGAAGTTCTGTGGTAGTAAATAAGTTGAACGACATCCTTGCTTTTATATTTTGGCATTTCTTAATCCTGTAAACCATTACAGTGAAATATATTTCTCAGTCATTTGATGGGAGTCGTCCATCTATTCTGGTAATTTCACACAAACACATCAAAAACATACCATTGCTATGTGCTAGAGGTTATTGTTCTTTCTTTCATACTATCTGCCTTCTTGTTAATTTCTGCCGACGTGTTCAATAGTTTGAGAGCTCTATAGGTCGACAATTTGACGATTTTTTTTATAAATGGTGGGTGTGGACCCCCCTTGGGGCAGAGGGCCCGGCCGAATAGGGGAAATAGAGGTAAAACCTTCAAAATCCTTCTCCTATCGTAGGGATTAAGGGCTTTTATCCTTATTTAGTCAGGAGCATCTTTGGGCCAAGGGGATTCAATTTTGTATAAACCGTGGGAATGGCCCCGTGTGGGCCTAGGGGACGGGGCCCGATAGGTGAACATAGCAAATAACTCTTTTAAAATCCTTCTACTTCTGTAGGAATGAAAGGATTTGGTATGGAGCATCCTTGGGTAAAGGGGAACCAATTTTGTATAAACGGGGTGTGCCCACACCATGATATGACTAAAACAGCGTGCAATGATGACGGTAGAATGGGAACAGATATGCTCGCAAGATGTGACTAAGGGCGACATGCGATTGGCGCTTGAATGTTACGTACAGTGTATCTTACACGGTGAAGATATATTTATACTAATGTCGACCATTTCTGTTTACAGGAAGCACAGGACCAGTTTCTACGTGTAAGTACTTTTATATAATCACAACTACATATATATAATGGTTATTACTGTGTGCTATCAGGACATACAAGTATCAAAATGTTTTTTTCGAATAAGATGTATCTATACATTTACTAATAAATGTACTTATGAAAGAAATTGCACACGTACACGTGTTGGTCTCGTGTCTGTAGTTGCTGACGCCTGTACGGACGGGACCAATGGCGGCTGTGCGCACGTCTGTGTGGACACAAGGAATGGTGCCTACGTGTGTCTCTGTAACAGCGGGTACGGACTGGACTCGGACGGACACAACTGTACGGACATCGATGAGTGTACGGAGTACGGACCGTGTGAACAAACCTGTACAAACACAGTGGGCAGTTTCGAGTGTAGCTGTCGAGCTGGGTTCACACTGGACAATGTTACCAACAGCACGTGTAACGGTAAGGCGCAAAACAAACGTGTCGATGTATGACAGACATTTTACACTTGTCAAGATCAGGAACATACTCTACACGTGTCATGATAACACGTATCATAATAAGGCACACACTCTACGCGTGTCAAGATAAGACACGCATTTTACACGAGTCATTGTAAGACACCTTTGGTTTAAACTTGTTTTATTCATTTTTTTTGACAATACATTGAAATACAAATTGTACATTTTATACAACAGTAAAGAAAAACAAAACACTCTACGCGTGTGAAGGTAATATAAATACTTGACACGTTTGAAGGTAAGGCAAACACTATGCGTATCAAGATAAGACACGCTCTCTACACTTGTCAAGGTAAGGCACACGATTTACACGTGTCAAAGTAAGATACACTACACGTGTCAAGATAAGGTACATGCTTTACACGATTTAAGGAAAGGCACACGCTTAACACTTGTCAGGATAAGACACGCAAGCAACACGTGGTTTTATAAACAATACACTCCATATGTGTAGCTGTTTTAAAAACACACCCCAAACACGTCAATCAATTAGCATTCATTCAACTCATGTAGCAATGAATACGAGCAACTTAACACACATGATAAATATGACGTCAATAACGAAAACACAATACGTGTAGTGTTAAGAAACACACTTGAAGCATTGCTCGTTTAAAAGAGGAAAAGTGCGATACTTTCTCGTGTTAATTATTGTGTTGTAGATGTTGACGAGTGTACTAACACCAGCCTGTGTACTGGACAGACATGTGTCAACTCCTACGGGAGCTACCACTGTGTGACTTCTGCGTCGGGGATGGCTCCGGACATCCCTGGGGATGAGGAGGAGAAGTTAGGGGAGTCAATTTTACAAACATGTAAGTAGACAGATGATTTTTCAAGTTTTAATTCCTAAGACCATATATACAGTTGCATGGGTGACTACCAGGTTACTTCAACCCATGTTCAATCACCGTTACAAAATGATTCCCGCACACGATGCTCTCTCTCTCTCTGTTTCTTTCTCACTTCTTCACCTATGTATATTTCTTTTACCTGTGATTTGATACTTTGATACTCCTCTACAGCTCCATATGCTAGCATCCATCCAACGTTCGCGTTTATAAGGGGAACCAGTCTCTGTACTGTACTTTATGAAGAGTGTTTCTACATTATACAATTAGTATATGCTTGCAGCGTGCTTAAGTTTCATTAGAATGCCTATGCATAGTTCTTTTGTTATCTGGTTCATTTGCAGCTCGATCGTTTGAATTTATATTGTTTGATGATGAAAGTTAATGCTGAACTTAATGTCATAAGAAAGAGTATTCCAATACTATAAAGCACTATATGCGGTCCTTTAAATTATGTGACGTTCTCACCTAAAAGTACATATCTTTATATTACATATTCCAGCTGTTGACGCATGCTCAGACGGCACCAATGGTGGATGTGAACACGTGTGTGTGACCAACAAGAATGGCGACTACTACTGTTTGTGTCACGATGGTTACAAACTGGACATAAGAGGACACAACTGTACGGACGTGGACGATTGTACGGAGTACGGACCATGTGACCAGACGTGTATCAACTTCCCCGGGACGTACACGTGCGGCTGTCGGGAGGGGTACATACTGGACATAGACAACTTCACGTGTAACGGTACCAAACAGGAAAATTTGTTTCGTTTCATATACATTAGTGTGTTTAATAACTTGTCCAAAAAATGCATGTAAAAGTCGTTCTGTTCCATGATCAAGGTGTTTTCCACCGTCGTCCCCGATATTTGCGATACTCCCATGAGTTGTTTANGGGGGGGGGGGGGGGGGGGGGGGGGGGGGGGGGGGGGGGGGTCATTGATTGACTAATATCTAACAAACGAAACGCGATGTACAATGTCATGAATCGTGAGAAGGTTGAGTCTTTATATAGAATACATAAAGGATCCCATTACTTATAATAAAGTCATCATCTTGCAAAAGCAAAATTTTGTTTTTTACTGACATTAAGTTCTTTGTTGATGATATAAATCGCGTATTATATGCCTATGGCGCATTGGAAAAGATAATTCCTGTATTATAAATTGTACAATGTATTCATACATTTATATATTATAAACAGCATTTGTACTTTATGAAGAGTGTTTCTACATTATAAAAATTAGGTCCATGCTTGTAGCGTGCTTAGGTTTCATTAGAATGCTTATGTATAGTTCTTTCGGCGTTTGTTCATTTGCAGCTCGATCGGTTGAATAAATATTTTTTTCGATGAAAATGTATAATGCTGAACTTAATGTCTTCAGAAACACTATTCCTATATTATAAAGCACCATATGCGGCCCTTTAAATTGTGTGACGTACTCACCTACAAGTACATATCTTTATATTTCTTATTCCAGCTGTTGACGCGTGCTCAGACGGCACCAATAGCGGGTGTGAACACGTGTGTGTGACCAACAAGAATGGCGCCTACGACTGTTTGTGTCACGATGGTTACAAACTGGACATAAGAGGACACAACTGTACAGACGTGGACGAGTGTACGGAGTACGGACCATGTGACCAGACGTGTATCAACTCCCCCGGGACATACACGTGCGGCTGTCGGGAGGGGTACATACTGGACAAAGACAACTTCACGTGTAACGGTACCAAACAAGAAAATTTGTTTCGTTTAATACGCATAAGTGCGTTTAATAACTTGTCCAAAAAAGGCATGTAGTCGTTCTGTTCCATGATCAAGGTGTTTTCCACCGTCGTCCCCGATATTTGCGATACTCCCATGAGTTGTTTACAGGGGCGACAAGGAGCCCTGGGGGAGTCATTGATTGACTAATATCTAACAAACGAAACACTATGTACACTGTAATGAATCGTGAGAAGGTTGAGTCTTTATATAGAATACATAAAGGATCCCATTACTTATATATATTAAAGTCATCATCTTCCAAAAGCAAAATTTTGTTTTTTTACTGACACAAAGTTCTTTGTTGATGATATAAATCACGTATTATATGCCTATGGCGTATTGGAAAAAAGAATTCCTGAATTATAAATTGTTATAAACAGCATTTGTACTTTATGTAGAGTGTTTCTACATTATAAAAATAAGGTCCATGCTTGCAGCGTGCTTAAGTTTCATTGGAATGCCTATGTATAGTCCTTTTGTTATCTGGTTCATTTGCAGCTCAATCGTTTACATTTATATTGTTTGATGATGAAAATGCAATACACTATTCCTATATTACATATCTTTGTATTACTTATTCCAACTTATTCCAGCTGTTGACGCATGCTCAGACGGCACCAATGGCGGGTGTGAACATGTTTGTGCTACCACAAGAAATGGCGACTACTACTGTTTGTGTCACGATGGCTACAAACTAGACATAAAAGGACACAACTGTACAGACGTGGACGAGTGTACGGAGTACGGACCATGTGACCAGACGTGTATCAACTTCCCCGGGACGTACACGTGCGGCTGTCGGGAGGGGTACATACTGGACATAGACAACTTCACGTGTAACGGTACCAAACAAGATTTTTTTTTTACTTTGATATACATTAGTGTATTTAATAACATGTCCCAAAAAGGCATGTAAAAGTCGTTCTGTTCCATGATAAGGTGTTTTCCACCGTCGTCCCCGATATTTGCGATACTCCCATGAGTTGTTTACAGGGGTGACAAGGAGCCCTGGGGGAGTCATTGATTGACTAATATCTAACAAACGAAACACTATGTACATTGTCATGATTCGTGAGAAGGTTGAGTCTTTATATAGAATACATAAAGGATCCCATTACTTATATATATTAAAGTCATCATCTTGCAAAAGCAAAATTTTGTTTTTTTACTGACACAAAGTTCTTTGTTGATGATATAAATCAGGTATTATATGCCTATGGCGTATTGGAAAAAAGAATTCCTGAATTATAAATTGTTATAAACAGCATTTGTACTTTATGGAGAGTGTTTCTACATTATAAAAATAAGGTCCATGCTTGCAGCGTGCTTAAGTTTCATTGGAATGCCTATGTATAGTCCTTTTGTTATCTGGTTCATTTGCAGCTCAATCGTTTACATTTATATTGTTTGATGATGAAAATGCAATACACTATTTCTATATTATAAAGCACCTTATGCGTTCCTTTAAATTGTGTGACGTTCTCACCTACAAGTACATATCTTTGTATTACTTATTCCAACTTATTCCAGCTGTTGACGCATGCTCAGACGGCACCAATGGCGGATGTAAACATGTTTGTGCTACCACAAGAAATGGCGACTACTACTGTTTGTGTCACGATGGCTACAAACTAGACATAAAAGGACACAACTGTACGGACGTGGACGAGTGTACGGAGTACGGACCATGTGACCAGACGTGTATCAACACTCCCGGGACGTACACGTGCGGCTGTCACTCCGGGTTTATGTTGGATACGGATAATACGACATGTCAGGGTACGAACATCTATATTAGACTTCAGATAAAGTCAATAAACTAGCGGTTAACGAATAATGATCAAAACTGGGCAGAGCTAAAATGAACTAAAAACATCCTGGTACCCGGTACATTTATATGCCTTTTTCTGGTCATCGTTTATGCTAGCCATCGGATTTGTTTTCTTTGTTGTCAGCAATCTCTTGCTATTGATTAATTAAGTTCGGCCTAAAATGCTTTTATTAACGCAATGATCTTACAATTAAGACACAGGAAGCTTTCTAATACTTATGTGTTTCAACTCCAGCCAAAAAAAAAAAACACCTCAGAAGAATGTATGCAATAATACAGGTGAAATATTTGCATACAATCCCATGGGATGGTATTTTCTTGCACACAATCGTTGGAGTGGAAGTTGCCCTGGTGTTGATCTAAACCCTTTCAACGCATAACAAGACTCACAGATCTCAATGTCCGTGTCTATGTACAAACTTACGAACAGTGCCTCATAGTCTGTGATACTAACCTCAAGTTCGGTACCTAGATCTGCTCTGTTTCTTATATCTCTCTTCTTATAGGTGTATCAATATATTATGATGAGTTGATGTAAATACCGTCGTTGTCTTCCAGATGTAAACGAGTGTGACAACTCTACCACGTGTCCAGAACCGGAAGTGGGCGTGTCTGTATGTATAAACACTCATGGATCTTACTATTGTCTGACATTCAACGAGAGGACATCGGTGGTACATGAGGAACAACTCCTGTCAGACCAAAGTGATGACCAATCATCGCTTTATGACCACGAGGCATTACCACTACAGGAAGGTAGATATTGAGAAATATCATTTGATATCATCTTCAGTTTGGCCGGCTTCATCTTTCTTATCATTATTAGTATCATTAATTTTAGACTTTTGCCGCAATTACAAAACATCACTCATGATTGTAACTTACCTGCAATATTTTATGTTCACTATCTTGAAAAACGATCGAGTTCCGATTAAACCCGACGATAGAGAGGACCTTGTCAGTATAGACCCTGTAGCAGCCTCCTCGTGTCCAGTATTTTTTCCCCAGTAAAACGGGGAGGGTCCTATTGTTTCCAGCACATGTTAATGATCTAGCGATTCTTGACTAGCTCATTGAGCAAACCTTTGTTGAAAGCCCGTGTATAATACGAATTATGAAAACAAATATCCATATGACGTGAGCCTAGTTATGCCTCTTAATTAGTGTTGAGTTTGAAATAAACTTCATATGATATACAGATATGGGTTTGTGTGAATTATAATACAACCTCCATATAGTTGCGTAAACCTATACCAAGCTTTAATTTAGAATATATCTTAACTTCGCGCAATTTCTTCTATAATGACATCAGGCCAATCACAATCAAGTTAGATGTTATATCATAATTGACATTTAACTGAAATATAAAAAAAAATGAACAAGCAAACAATAAACATATACCAACTTATGTACTGTTACAGATTACCTAGATGATTCACATCATAGAAATGGAGATCAAATACTCGAAGAGGCAACGACTGTGCCAGATGAATCGATGAAATCCCCCGAATCTCCGACTTACGGTAACCTTACACTGGGGGTTGGTTTCCTGGCCGGGGCGTTGTGTGTTGTGTTAGTGGGTAGCGTCGTCTTTGTGATCCGTAAACATCGCCGTGCACTTTGTTGGAGACGTGTAGAGGAAAACAACGTATTGCAAGCATGACGTATTGGACAAGGGAGCATCATCATACGATTGTCCACATGGAGTGAGCGGAATACCACACTTCCGGTCATATATAGCCATCTGATATTGGTATACATGAATTGCCGACGTTGTAAGCAGACGTTCACATTGCATTTCAGTGGATACATTGTAGAAACATATACACATGAAATGATTACGCCACAAAGGACACTACACGTCCGTTCAACTGCTACTGTATTCCACTGGAAACTCCGACATTATCTGAGGTAGTGGATACTCCCGTGATTATCACCAAAAAAACTTGACATCATTTTATTGATAAGCAATGGATTATCTGCCTTCTATTTTATCCCCATGATGCTCCTGTATTGCATTGTTTTTACCTGTCCACAGCGACCTTCAACGTCAAAGATACGTCACGTGGTCATGCTTGACAATATCTGTTCTAAAGATAATTTTTATCAACTGAAAATGCATGCTTTTGTACTTCCACATTGGTGTAATCTATGTCGTTGTTATGTGACATTGAGTGGTCATCCAACCATGTCCATGTCTCAGTGCTGATGTGTACTGTACTCTAAGTCTTTATACTTGATATTCATTCTTACAATTAATTGTCTGTATGTTAGTTATCATTCAGTTAACCTTGTTACACGAGTTCTACATGTTGTTTTCCTTCCATCTTGTTTTTTTTTTTATATAATACTGTATTATTATTATCATTTTTCTTGTATCATTATCAGTGTGTCTTTTGTTGATTCATAAAATTTTAACGTGGTTTTTTGTATGTTTACAGACGTGATCGACCTTTAGCACTGCCCGTCACTTACATCGTAAATTACGTCAAATGATATATGTGACGTCTTCGCTGATTATTTCATGCTAAGACTTCAGTAAATATTGTATAAAACAGACAGTAATAGTCGTAAGGACCAGTCAGTAACAGTGGTAGAATCAGTATAAGACGAAAAGAGACGTCAATACAAGTCGTAGAGAGACTTCAGTACAAGTCGTAGAGATACTTCAGTACAAGTCGTAGAGTGACGTCAGTACAAGTCATAGAGTGACGTCAGTACAAGTCGTAGAGAAATGTCAGTACAAGTCATAGAGAGACTTCAGTACAAGTCGTAGAGTGACGTCAGTACAACTCATAGAGTGACGTCAGTACAAGTCATAGAGTGACGTCAGTACAAGTCATAGAGAGATGTCAGTACAAGTCATAGAATGACGTCAGTACAAGTCGTAGAGTGACGTCAGTACAAGTTATAGAGTGACGTCAGTACAAGTCATAGAGAGATGTCAGTACAAGTCATAGAATGACGTCAGTACAAGTCGTAGAATGACGTCAGTACAAGTCCTAGATTGACGGCATTATCAGTCGTAGAGGGACGTCAGTGCTAGATGCAGAAAAAATAAGCACAAGTTGTAGAAACCCGTTAAGAAATAAATACATAAAACTGCATAAAAATAATTATTCTCGAACCCTTTTTGAGCAGTATCCATATACATGTATAATGAAGCTATATTGATATAACCACAATACACAACTTAACAAAGATTTGCTAATGTTTCCATTATTGATAAACATATATACGGTGTATAGAGTTATGTCTTCTATATCATTGAACACAGCAAATCTAAAAGTATGGTTTGTAAAATGAAATTATGTTTTTACATTATTGACAAAGTTTTATATGGTACAGCGTATGTTCGATGACGCAATAATATTGATACAAACATATACATGGTATGTACAAATGTATTAGATTTCTATATTATTTATATAAACATATACACCATATGATCATTGTATTACATTCTTACATTATTGATACAAACATATACATGATATATGCTCTGAAGCTATATTTCTACATTATTGATATATATAGGATCTTTAATGAGTTTTCATTTCATATGAGATTTTATGAAACGAGTCCTAGGACTTTTTATTTTTGCGATCCTTGGCGAGCAAAAATTAAAACTTCGAGACGAGTTTCAATTGATGACGTCACGTCATTGTCCATATAATGACGTCACAATCGATTTCTGACTGGCACAGCCAATGAAAAACGCTCTAGGGAATATTACACTAGTGACATATGTAAAAATATTACATGGGGGAATTCACTGGATAACAGGCCGAGTATGTGATAAAAACATATACATTATGTTATATCTATATACATGTATCTTGTATGTCACCTTATAAGTTATGTACATTTTTGTATATGCATTATCAATGACACGTTATTTAATCATACATACCTGTTACTGTGTTGATGTATTAGTACATTCTGTCTTAACATTAAACATTATTACATATCCCTGTATATCTGTCGTCTGTATTATTATTGAGAAGCAAGGTAACGAATCCATTTGTCTCCATTGATACTATTTACGTCAATAAATTTCTAGTTTGTGTAAAAGTGTTTACATTTTACTTAAAACTGTCAACTTTTTACGTGTCCCAAAATAACTTAAAATTGTTGATGTCCATAAAAAAACAAGACCAAAAAAACCTTTTTAGCTTAAAAGCTACTTTTCATGAAAAATAACACCATATTATTACGTAAAGTAAACGTTTTTATGTAAAGATGTCTTCACTATTCTAATGTCATTATTTTTTCTAGGGTTGTCAAAATATATAAGAAAACCAGTATGTCACAATACACAGGCACATTGTATCCTATCGCAATAAAGAAATGAAATCGCCAAACCATCGAAATGTTTTTTAAAAGCTTATTTTTATGTCTCTGTTGGGTGCTTTGCAAAACACTACACATGGTAACAGTAATTGCAATGACCATCAATCGGCTTTTACTAGTCGTGGGAATCAACCTATACATTTGTGTGACCCATATGATATATGCTTCAGATTGGCAACCTTCTGACAGCAATTTAATTTAAAATCCTTTCTGTATATTGTATTATAGCATCATACACTCCAGACGTATTGTGACGCTACTAATATTTCCTTTTTAAGCCGCTCCTGAAATGACGAACCCACTTTCGTTCGGGTGCGTGCGCATAATTCAGACTTGCATGCTTCCGCTATATAGTTTCGTTATCAATGTGTAGTATTCATAATCCATACTTTAAATAATTGCTGAAAATGTTTATCTCCGGAGCATTCTGCGAGTGTTGTGGTGGTGAAATTCGTGCACTGGGTTTGAGCGTTTTAGCTGGGGAGGTTTACGCATGTGAAATACATATGATTCGAAAAAGCACATGTGAAGTCTGTCAAGCATTGACGGTGTCTGTAGAAGGAAGACGTTAATATATATACTTATAAACCGTATGAGTGATGAAGTATTACCTTTATTTTGATGTTTAAAACGGAAACGTCATATGACATATCGTGCCGCCTTAGCTAGGTTGATAACGGTAATGGCTCTTGAGACGAGACGATATGTGTGAACCGTGTATGCTTATCAAACATTTCTGTAACACAGCATGCTTTTTCTGGTGTATTTATTTATGCAAATGTTACAATTTAAGAACATGACACAAATGCCGCTGCTGTTTGACAAGAATTCGCGCCGTATCAAAATATTATCCAATCCGGTGTAAGGGAAATAACTCTTACGTTGGTAAAGTCGCATTGAGAGATATAATTCAAATATATTCCAAGAACATTTGTGAGATTTTGTATATTCAATGACAGTAAATAAAGTCACTACATGTATTAATAATTATTATTAATATGAATAAAAAATAAATAGAATTAAAAGGAGTACAATGTCTCTTTTCTCCATGCATGTTTTCCCACTACTGTTATCAATTATCTTTCATTTCACAAGCACAAATGTACCTACTTCTTCCATTCACCGATTGCCATTATGCACGTAAATGCTCATGTCACATCATCGGAGGATGCTAATTAATGAAAATTATAACAACGCGTCACACTTAAAGAGGGTGAAAAAGAGGAGAGGGAGAATGTTTTTAAGGCATCATTTAACAGGTGATTGATTTTGGAAATTCCAAAGGCAACATCATCACATGACCTGATTTTCAATTAGCAGAATACAGAACAAATATCTGAGGTATTATAGTAGATATTGATGCTGAACGTGTTACTGAAGCAATTAAATTTAAAGTGGTGAGCGGCTTTAATGTCACACTGACATAATTCTAGTTTATGTTATTATTCAAACATACATTCGGTCAGCATACTTACACATTTCCTTACCGACTAAATACAGTATTGTCATCCACAGGCACCTTACTAGCGTAGATGACTATACGTATACTATATTGTAGTAGTACCGGAAGGGATACTGTTAGTCTGAAACTCAAGTCGTATGGCAACAACGGAAGTTACATATGTACATCAATTAAGTCAAGCGGAAGTAGTAAATTGCTGTAGCACAGATCTACCTAAGCCGTATCTGCTTCATTTATCAGTAAGTAGATTAGGAATTGCAGTGTAAAACGCGTAAGGAAAACAAGTTTAAATATCATACATGACAATAGGTTTGGCAAATATATAGATATCAATAGACACTTGGACATCAATCAATGGGTCAACAATGGGTCAATCAATGCGTCAGTCAATGCGTCAATCAAAGATAGGAAAATCAATGAAAGTTGAGAATGACTGATTACAAAATAATGGCAATACGGATAACAACACAATCTACAATCATGAATACATAATTCTCTGAACTCATCTTCATACATTTAAAAATTCATGTCATAATAAACGTTCATACATGTATCTCCCTTTTACAACCCATTCGTGTACGTGTTGTACACCTGCATATTTGTATGTACGATAAACCACAGATGCAAGTAACCTGTATTTAAAAGTGCCTATGTAGTCAAAGGTCAAAATCACCAGTCAAGGTCAAGACCTTACTGATCAGTGGAGGCTGATGAATGGAGGTCGTACACATATTTAGCTTCACATTTCGTATCTATATGAAGGAAATGGTGGCCGGAGTGTCATTATTCCCCGCTACATGTTGGAGATATCCGACGTCTATATATATACTGAACTGTGGAAAGTCATCAATCCTATAGTTGAACATGGCAAGACACCAATCGCGGATAGGGTTCGTAACCAGGCCTCTTTAATTCCCTAGGTCGGGGATCAAAGATAAGGTCGCATATGCATTGCCCCCATAGTGCATTTTGTGCAAATTGTTTCGTAAAAAACTGGGTTAGTTAAAAAAAAAACACGCTTTCAATTGCGTAAATGTTGCAATATCAACATATCGGGGAGATTTCCGGCAATCTTCGGATTTTCGAAGATTCCCGGAACCGAAGATAGCAGGAAATCTCTCCGATATTGCGATAGTGTAATGTTGTTTAGGAGTTATATCTCTCTTCAATCATATCACTGGTTGTAGACCGGCAAGATCTGAACTCAATCACACCGGTAATTGATAGTTGTAATATCATATAAGGCATAACGACGATTGTTTTGATTGGGAGTAGAATACTAATTTACCTAATGTGTAACACGTATCTTGGGTAGAACAACATCAGAATCCACCGTGTGCTCTCTATCTTTTCATATTATCTTTGCGTTCATCCGGCATGATCATTGAAAATGCTGTTCAATACATATATTTCCATTCTAAATGTTATAGTTATTAATGACCTAAATATAGGTTTTCCGTAAAGATTTGAGGATTATTTGAGGCGAGAGGAGAAGCTTCAAAATGACGCTGATCAAAATGAGTTCATAGCACTATGAACGCATTTTTCTTCTTCAATTGAACTTACAGTTGAAATGTCAAAATACTTAAATTGACGCGGCAAAACGATAGTCCAGAATATACGTACGCCAACCATTAAATGATGAAAGAATAATAAATTTTGATACAGGAAAGAGATGAATTAAGGACAGACAACACAGTATTTGAAACTGAGGGTTGACATGAGATGGCCACATGCACAGTACATCGATAGGGAGAGGTGACCCGATATATTGACAGTGCAAATAAAGGACAGATGACCGGGGTTAGAAAAACCCTGAGATAGCCGCAGTAAATGGAATTTTTTCCCACTTCAAACTGCTGAAAATAAACCATAAATTGAGAAGTTTACATTACGTGCTATATATTAAACGGGCATCGAACCTGGGCTCGTAATTGCGCCGATTAAGAAGAGATTGTAAGCTGATTAAACATTGATTTACAATTTCCGCCTGGGGGTTAGAAACTGCTCAAACACTTGAGTGATAGAGATGAGATGCTGAGTCTGTCCTGTCATTCCTAGAAAAAGATGGCGGATGTTTTGAAACGGTAAAATAATTATTTTAGTTAAGTTTGATTTGTTCTCTCCTTCCAAACGTATTAAAGTTGCTGTTGTGACAATAAGACACAACAGACGTAATATCTGCACACCGTACATTGGGAATGACCCAGATAACATTTCATTTACAGCCACATTTGACCAAATGGCGGGCTGGCGAGTGGCGCGAAAACGGCTACTTATAAAACAGTAACGTATTGGTTTGACGAGTTTGATAAACGACATCTCATTTTGAAACATGTTATTTTAAAAAAATACAGCATAGGCAATGCGTGAAATAAAAAGAATTATGCTGAAGTTATGATCTGTAACTAAACTTACATTGGTTTGTAGGCCGAGGCTGCTTGGTCGGATAACGGGAATGAATCTCTGAAAAAAGGCGTGAAAATATCCAGGGAGCCAGTCAAAAATGCAGAGAAGTGGGAGAATGGTCCGTTCTACGTTCGTTGTTGTGTCATTTACAGTTTCATCCCTTCAACGACGACCCAGGTAATGTGAAAAATAAATCCGTCTTGATAGCCTTACAAGTTTGTACAGGGGAGGTAACTGTGAATTAACGTCGTGCAGTTATACTGAAATAGGGTGATCTCTTAATGATGCATATCATATACAAGTGTTTTGTTATGAGTCAATGACAAATTGATTTGGAAAACAAAGGATTGATATACTTAACGATAAGTTATTCAGTGACATATTGAACTGAAAATATAGATTTTCTTTTATGTCATTTTGTTGAAAAATAATAATAATAATAATAAAAAACAAATGAAAGATTTTACAGTATGCACTGTCAAATTTAAGACTAAAATGTTATCTACGTAGAAAAAAAAAATCATGCAATTTTTTTTAATTATGCGAATTTATAACATTTTAAATATTTTTGGTAATTTTAACCAAAACGGCTAGAGGAAAACTTAATAAATAATATCGATACCATTATATTCATTATATATTAAAATCTTATTTTTGTTTCCTAAATATGTGTATGCCTATGGGAACATCTACACCTATATTCAAATTGAAAAATAGGGGATAGCATATATGTATAATCATGGTGATTTCACTAATAAATATATACATTCATCATTTCTCTAAATCATACAATTGTGGTCATGAATTTTTTTTGGTCATTGTATAAATAGAGAGTATCGGATACTTGGTGATCCATGCCGCAGCTATGATGACTTCAAGAAACTATCCAAGGTTTGTGCGCTGAATGTTTGTCTGGCGAGGTTTCTCCAGTGTGTGTCATTGATCTTGAAATAATTTTTTTTTTTTTTTAGTTGAATCAACAGAAAGAATGTCAATTCAATAAACCACATTACAATTATATCAAACTGCAAAAAATAAAAAGAATATATTTCTAAACATTTTCTTCAGATTGGTAAATATGGATTGTGAAAAGATTCATGTAGCACAACCAATAAGTATTGGTATGTTATGATTATTGGTGTTTTATATTTTCTGCCATTTAATAATCTTAAATAAGTTTTAAAAATTTAGTTCTTGTATACTGTATAATAATAAATTGGTACCACAGTCAGTACCATGCATACATTAATGTTGATGTAATAGATTTTAATCAATGAAAATTGTAAATGTTTAATAATTATGGAAAGCATCACCTGTTGTACCTGTACATGTATTACATAGCTGTGAACCTGTTGGGAAAGTGTTACAGACATCATTAGATCATATATGGCTGAAATGTTTGTTTGATGTCAGATTGAAAATTTGTTTATTAAGTTTCAGGATGCCATATATGACACACGATGAGACTAACGGTTCACCTGCAGTAAGCATTTATTGATTTGTAACAGTAGTGGAAAAGCGTGATTGCAAGACTTGGATTTGAACTGAGACCTCTGGATTCTATAATCAACTTAAGTACCCAGTCACAAGCCTGGTCCAGTTCATGTGCACCTGCATAAGTACTGGTAGGTTAAACTAGGTTTGTACATATGTTTTCTTGCAGGGTATGTGTTGCAGCTATTGATTTGCGCATGCATGAGTAAATATTTCATATATGTATACCCCGGTAAGTTAATGTGTGAATAAATGTGCATGAACAAAAATAGGTGAAGAATAGTGTTCATATTTCTATGTTAGTATTAGTATTCTGAATGTGAAACAGTGCTCCATTGGAAGGTTGCATATGTACGCACAAGTAATCACTTTTGGCATTTCATTTCTCTTGTGCTCTAATGATATAGAATTGTAAAAAAAAATCACTCTTACTACAACCACGGAATTAGATTATCTAAGTCCTTGCTACAACGGTTACCATGTGAGTATTTGTTAGTTTCTCTTAATTTTATACGCCAAAGGTCAAAATAATTATTTTGTGTGTGCACAAAATTTTAATGAAAAACAGTATCCACTTAGCGGTATTTACATTTTGACTATTTTAATAGGTGTACTATGGGGATGAACATTTTATAGGACACTGGTTATAGTAAATGGACTAGGAGAAAATTAAATCATTTTGAAATGAAATTGAACTTGGACTTGTTTCCAGTGTTCTTGCTATAATGTCCAACTGGTGATTGATTTTCAAAAGTAGATAGTTGAATGCAGATTGGTCTTACTGCATACAAAAAACATAATGACACGAAAACTGGCTATTTTGCCAGCAACTGGCTTTTAATGAGAACACTAGCTAATACAGTCTTGACTAATAATTGTACAGATTATAATGGTGAATTGGTCAATATTTTGGGTAAAGTAACACTCCGTATAACATTGTTCCTTTTTGGTTTAATGAGCCTAAAACATTTACCGTTCATTAATGATAATTAGATTATCATCAATTATATTAATTCATTAATGATTATACAAATATACAATAATTTGTTTTCGGTGATTTTTTTTGTTCACTTTTACTGCCAAATATACGGTCAATACAGGCTGTTTCCCCTTGATAAAATGTGCCTTAGTTTCCCCAAAAAACCCAAGCCTGGGGAATGTATTCCCAATTTCAATACAAATGATGCGATATTTTCCCAATTCATAAAGGAACAGGCTTTTGTAAATTTTAGGTAACAAAAACACTGGTTTCGTTTATAATGAAATGAAAAAAAAGACTTATAAAAGGTCTACATACATCAATAGATATATTTTGTTAAATGAGAACAGGCCCTGTGCTAATAGTAAATGATTTACTATGGTATATATACTAACACGGATATATGAGCGACGTGAATACTGTTGACATTTAAAAGTTGGTATTACTTAGCCTAGCTTGAACTATCGGCTTCCGTTACCACAACTCTCATTAGGCAGTAATTAAATCATGGTAATATATTTCGTATCCTGAAAGCTTCTATATTTATTCCTGAACGGTTGCAGAAGATGCTATCACAATTTTCGGATATATTTTGTTTTCTAGTGGCAAAATATACAGAAACAATTTTTACTAGAAAACAATGATAATACTTTTTGCATATGCAGTATGTTTAAAATGGACTTAGAATATAAATATGATTTATAATGGCTTTCAATACTAATTGATAGACTGATGTTTGTAAAAAAAATCAATTAAAAAAATAAAACATTGTTGTGACCTGGATAAAATGAACAGTTATGGAAATAAAACAAAATTATTGTAAACTGGATAAAATGAACATTTATGGAAAATAAAACAAAATGATTGTAAACTGGATAAAATAAACATTTACGGAAAATAAAACAAAATTATTGTGAATCAGAAAAAATGAACAGTTATGGAAAATAAAACAAAATTGTTGTGAACTGGATAAAATGAACAGTTATTGAAAATAAAACAAAATTGTTGTGAACTGGATAAAATGGACAGGTATGGAAAATAAAACAAAATTAAATATTTCTTTTACTGAACGGACAATTTTAGAGATAAGTTTTAAGACTGCTCATTACAGCTCTTCAGAAAATATTTTCAGGAATTAAAAAAAAAAAGTTAAGGATCAGATCTTTTATTGACTGTAATGCCTGAGCTAGAGTCTATTTCTAAGATCGCGGTGTTGTAATCCTGCTATTTGGCAGCCATGCATGAAATTTTCCCACATCTGTTACATACTCCTGGATACAGCTGGTTGATTGATCAGCTAGTTAGCTGTAAAGAACAAATGACACCTTTGTTTGGTCTGCCTCTTGGATAAACCCCCTGAAGCTGTACCGTGCTGTTATTCATGAGCATACTTCCATGGTAATGTTTGTATGAAAATCAATGTTAGGTATTTCCCATAGAAAGTGTGGGCAACAGAAGTTTGAAGCTTTATGTAATGTGTCAGGAGAGATTTGTGTTAATGTGTTGTGCTGGGGAAGATAACATACATTGGAAGTTAAATTTCTCTGGTTTTTGTTCGGGAATATGAGGAAAATGTATCGAGACTCCAAGAATTATAGCATAAGTTAAAAAGGTAAGTGTTTACCAGCTTTAAGCTCAACTACAAACTACCAGCTGTCTGAGTCCCAAAGTATTGTATTTGTAAACAAATGTTATCAAAGTTTATATAAGGGAACAGAATATATTATACCTTCAAGCTAGCCGTAAATGAATTTAAGTTACCAGATACAATAGACATTTAGTTTAATACTGCTGTTGTATATATTCCTTTTTATAAATATGGAAATGATTATGTGACATTTTATTTTTTATTTGTTAAGGTTTATGGTAGAAGAATGGGGCTATATCTTTGACATAAGTAGCCCCCCTCCTCCATTTGAGAAAAATAGGGTGCGGCGTGTGACCCTAACTATTCTAAAACAGCAATTATCAGCTAGCTGTGTTCCCTCCTCCTTCTCCTGTCCATGTATATCATAAATCATAACAACTCCAGAATGTTTTGTAGAAAGTGTACAAAATGGTCCATACCCTTGTCAGAGTCATACAAAGTGGTCCAGACCCTTGTCTGTAGTCATACTAAGTGGTCCAGACCCTCGTCTGTAGTCATACTTAGTGGTCCAGACCCTTGTCTGTAGTCATACTAAGTGGTCCAGACCCTTGTCCATATCATACAAAGTGGTCCAGATCCTCCCTCGTACATAACTATATACAAGCCATACTTAGTGGACCCATCACTGGTACATCATAAGAACCAAGTGATCCAATCCTTCCCTGGAACAGTGTCCAGGTATAGACTTAAGGTAAGGCCAAAGGCTGAGGTGAACAATGCTCAGACTAGGTCCATACATCATGGATAGACCTAAGCTTAAGTCTTCAATTGTTTTATTTTGACCCACTCATATCTCATTTAACATTTAAATTACTCAAAACCAGAATAAATGATGAATAGTCTGCCACAATTTTTCCTTGTCTTGGAATAACACTTTTCAGATTTGTGACGTCACATGTCAGACATCTCTTCTCCTATATGTAAGCAACAGGCTAGGACAGGATTCAAACCCATGATCTCCAATCATAATACTGTTGCTCTATTCCTAATAAACCAACTATCAGAGTGGAGAATTTGCAACAGGCAAATTGTATTTTTAGAATGTGGCCAGTAAGAGATTTACAGACCTGCAAATTGGAAATACTCTGACCTACTTTTAGTAACAGTCTGTAATACTTTTTCTAGACTTAGAATATGGTCTGTAATGTATTTACGGTGTACAAACTGGTCACATGATGCTATTCCTCTAGTTAGAGTAAGAAATTAGAAACAGCCAACAGGCATAAAATAACAAGTCATCTAGATCCTTACTGTTCCAGACTTTCATTCCAGTGATCAAGACCCTCACTGAGTACATTACTTGTAACAAGTGCTTCAGACCCTCACAGGGTACATCACCAGTAAAAAGTGGCCCAGAGGTTCAGACCTGCACTCCAGTGGTCCAGACCCTCACTGGGTACATCAAAAGTAACAAGTTGCCCAGAGGTTCAGACCTGCTCTCCAGTGGTCCAGACCCTCACTGGGTAAATCAAAAGTAACAAGTTGCCCAGAGGTTAAGACCTGCACTCCAGTGGTCCAGACTTTATTGGTCCAGACCTTCTCTGCAGTGGTCAAGACCCTCACTGCACATCAAAAGTGGTCCAGACCTTTTCTCTTTCATCACCAGTAACATGTGTTCCAGATCTTCACTCTACTGGTCCAGATCCGTTTTGTCACATCACCAGTAACAAGTGGTCCAGACTTCTAAGAATCGTGGCAGGAAAAGAAATAGTAGTGTTCTAAGATACATAATTAATCAAGGTAGCTAAATCTAATTATTTACCTGGCATTCCTTAACGACCACTTCTGGATGATATGTAAATATTTCATGAGGTTAGCCCTGTGCCTGTGTACCTGGAAAGTTAATCAATGTTTACCTGACTTATATCATAGGTATGACCATCTGCTAGGGAAGGGATCAGAAATCAATTCAGCAGTGGGTTACTTCTACACTAGACACAAGACGGCATTCAGGATTACTTTAATTGATGTACATGAAGTGACGAAGATGCTGGTGATTTATATTTCAAGGGATATTTAATAAATCAAGAAACAGTTGGATTATTATTGCATATAAGGTAAGTTACATGTTGGCTTAATTGTAATCAGAGTTTGGCCTGTCTTGGTGTAGTACTGTACCCATGTGTGCAGTAATTGCTAGGATAAACATGCATGTTCTGAGAAGTTATATATTTATCAAGATGGCGTTGTTAAATTCTATCAGAAAATGCATCCTTAGTCATCACTCAATAACATAACATTGTAAGAGATATACTGTAATATATTACGCACAAAACTTCACAAAATGTAATGAGGACATTTCAGAAAATTCCGGTACCATGACGTGTTAAATGAATCGTGTGGATAGATACAATAACAGAAATTATGAGAAATAACTAGTCTTTATTCTTATCATGCCACCATATTCACCTGACCTCAGCTGTTGCGAGGATGTTAAACTCATAACAAAAAACTTGTTATGCCATATATATATACCTTAACAAATGAAAACACCACTTCCCAGGTTTACGAAAATTTAAATTGCGCACATCTTCTCAAAGCAAGCATTCATATTCATGTGTGCCTTTCAAATATGTCACCAATTCTTGTGTAGTATGAGCACAAAAATGCATGACCAGACCAGGATTGAAACCTAGGACCCGCTGAAATCTAGTGGACAGTCTACCAATTGAGCTACCTGGTCACCCCTGCTTGACCCAGTCCATTTCTGCTGCACTTGTGTACCATATATGACATAAATTCTTTTGTTGTACCCTTTCAAATATCATCAATCGGTTTTGTTATGCTTGTTATTACCATCCCTAGTAGCCATTTACAGACCAAATCTTAATGTGGAACTATTTTCTCACATGTCACAGAGTACCATAGATATGTACAATGTATTAGGTTTTTATGCACCCACCATAACATGGGGGTGAGGGGTGCATGTAGTATTGCCCATATCTGTCCCATCCTGTCCCGTCCCATCGTGTTTCAACCGATCAAAGTTTATACAGATTTCTGAAGTATGATAATACCTCGAATGTGTACATATTTCAGGGTGTTTATGTTAAAATCAAAGTCGTTATAACTATTTATAGAACATTATCAAACACTTAAACTAATACAAATGCAGAAATTTTGATTTGAAAAAAAATGGCAAAATTAGCATCATGTAACCGATGTACGCTATATACAGTAGTTGAGTCATTCTGAAAGAAGAAAAAATGTTTAAAAAGCTGAACAAAAATGTTGGTGTTCCAAAGAGTTGTTTATTTTATCGTTTATCATAAGGCCATAAATAGATTATCTGTCTTTCTAGTTGTCCAATTTTTACAAACTTTTTTAAGCCACTCACAGTCATTATCTGCGAATATTCAATTACATTATCAATCGTGGTTGATTTTGATTGGGTGAACTTTAAATCTACATCATTGACAGAAGAAAGGTACAGGGGATCGTTGGAATTAGATATATACATGTAGCAAAAGGCTTACATTTCTGGTTTATAACCTGTTGGACATCTGGAGGTGTCATAAAAAGCCAATATACAGCGTTGTGCAGTGTATTACCTTTCTTTTATTATGATTACATGTATGCGTATGTAACAAGCAAAAATTTACTGCTCTTTCTAGTCAACATAAAAAATGCTGAATAAGATTACTTCTGATGGAAGCATATATGTGACTGTTTCAATATTGTGCATAAAAAGGTCATATTGATTATTTAGTGTAAATAATGCATTGCTTGTATTATTAACTGTACTATTCATGTAATTATTTCATGTGCTCATGACTATAGAAAGCAAACCAGTTCTTTCAACTGAGGGGGCAAAAGTTACAAATCCAAATGTGTTGAAAGTTGATGAATAACAATTCCATGATGTTTTCAGTGCATTTAGTCAGAGCCCTTTATTCACAGAGACAGTTTAAGAACAAATTAAATATAGCTCAACAAGGTTCTCATACCTGCCAACCCCGGTTATACTAAAAGAGGGTGATGACCCGCGATGGCTTTTTTCGCAACAAATATAAGAAAAATTGATATTAAATTATTTATAACTTAAATATTTTAATGATGTAAAAGTTACATTCTACATTCATTGAACTGTTCTTCCAGCAGATCTAGCTGAATAAGAACGGTTCTTTTGAAAGAATCTCTTCAGAATGTATATTTACTGACTCATCTACAAACTATGGTTTATTTTTTTACTAGCCTTAATAAACAATAGACTACGTTAATCACGGTACTTTTGATGGTTGTTCTAATTTTCAGTGTGATCAATATATGATTAATAGTCTGCCTATCCTTCAGGACGTAGTCTAATGTCTAAATAATGAGAAATGTTGGGCAATTACCCAATATATGATTGCTTTGACCTACTTGCAGAGTTTTGTAATATTTCACCTTCACCGATACTATTGCTACTGGGCTGAGGGATAGGGAATACCTACACGTAATGAAAATAACATTTCAATTTTACTTTGTTTAAAGGATTGTTGTGAATTCTAAACAGTTTCATTAAGTAAAGGATGAAAATTTACTGTTGGAAATGATATATTTTCATAAAAAGTTACTATAAACAATTATGTAGAAATAAATAAAGTTATTGGTAAACCAACACATGTTAGTATAAGGTAAGGAGATCCAACGTCCTTTGGGTAGTGGTCAGTCAATGTACCGGTGTAGGGATCCCAGGTGGTAAGGAGATCTAACGTCCTGTGGGTAGTGGTCGGTCAATGTACCGGTGTAGGGATCCCAGGTGGTAAGGAGGTCTAACGTCCTGTGGGTAGTGGTCAGTCAATGCACCGGTATAGGGATCCCAGGTGGTAAGGAGGTCTAACGTCCTGTGGGTAGTGGTCAGTCAATGTACCGGTGTAGGGATCCCAGGTGGATACCGAAGTATTCAAGTAGAGCTATAAACAATTATAAAATTTCTTAACTGTTAACTGGGGATCCAGGAGTAAAACTCAACCTTAACAATAATGTTTCATTTTATCTGCATTTTATACAGTTAGTCTAGAGAGGGATATTATGAACCAGCTAATGCAGTTATAAGTCAAGGTTGCTGTTGTCATTAGTGTAAAAAGATGACAGCTCTAATTATCTTGACAAATTGGTGTTGTTTAAAAAACTTTTCAGATTATAATTGACCAACATTATATTTAAAACTTTTTGTTTGTACTAAATGCTAACCGATCTAACTGACCAGTATGGTTACTGTCAGTGGTATGTGGAACACCCTTTGTGAGTGTAAGAGAAGACCACTCCCATTCAGGTCTTCAGAAGTCATTCCAGGTGTTCCCACCACTCCCTTTGGTGTTCTATTATGTATAGGGGTGGGGGTATGTGCAATGCTATCTGATGATTTCACCTGGCCATTACACACAGGTGAGGCAGGCCTGTGAACACCCTGTACCAGATACTCAGTTTAGCGCCAACACCCATCTTCATTATCCATTGATGGTTTATTGACTTTGTATAGACGTACAATGGGTGGTTATCGTACCAGATGGTGTCTCTGATCATTATGGTGTGGAGACAAGTATGATTCATGGTAGAGGGTAAAGATTTTATATACCTGTCTCTCTTGTAGGCAATTTCCTTTAATACAAAGATGATTTGACAAAGCTATAAAGTAAATATAGGATTATTATATACCATCAGATTAAGAACCTGCAGTTCTCAAGTTTGGCTTCTTAAAGCGTAATTGGTGCATTGGCTTCAGTTAGCGACGTATTTAAATGAAACAAACTGCATACTGATTACACATTAACTAGTGGCATTACACAAATATGTCAAACATAGTCCCTACATCATCCATAACATCTTTATCTGGCCTTGTTAGCTTTTGAAATAACCCAAAGTAAGTTATGTGTACATATATGTTACATTACAAAGTTAACAAACTTATTCACAGCAAACAAAACGTCACTCTGCCAGATGTTTTTTTTAGTTTTAAAAGAAATTTTGTTGAGGTGACAAAGTTTAAAAGAATGGTATAAGCTATTATTTTAACTAAAAACTATGTTCGAGCCTGCAGGTACGAAAACTGCTCTTACAAATACCTATATGGGTAAAATATATATGTGGTGAGCTGAACCTGTTTATACTGGACACTTTATAAAGGCCATCAGATTAATCTGTCCTTTATATAAACTGTACTTTGTAGAATATGCATATACATGTATATTGAACCCTACACTAGAGGGGACACATATAGACTCTGATATAAACCATCAGATTGACCTGTCTATACTGTATTCTGTGTACATCAGAACATGTTTATATTGAACCTCTGGCTAGAGGTCTCGGGTTAATCTCTGTATAATGGGCCCTGTACATGTACAACTGTACCTCTGGCAATAGGGAACATTAAAAGACTCTGTTATAAGGCCACCAGATTAACCTTTCTATACTGGACCCTGTATACAATAGAGCATGTTTATAAATTGAACCCCTGGCTGTATGAGACATTTATAGACTGGCTGTTATAAGGCCACCAGATTAACGTTTCTATACCAGACCCTGTATACAATAGAGCATGTATATATATTGAACCCCTGGCTGTATGAGATATTTATAGACTGGCTGTTATAAGGCCACCAGATTAACCTTTCCATACCAGACCCTGTATACAATAGAGCATGTTTATATATTGAACCCCTGGCTGTATGAGACATTTATAGACTGGCTGTTATAAGGCCACCAGATTAATCTCTCAATAAGATTTGGCCCCTTTGTACAATAGAACATGTTTATATCGGACTCCTGACTGACAAATATAGACTTTGTTATAAGGCCAACCTGTCTCGCTACATACAGAAAGAATTAGACATTTTTTGGGTTCAAAATGAAGACGAATCCAATCCCCTCCTAAATATCGTCCAAATTGAACTAATTTAAGGTACTATGTTAAAATTGCCAATTTAAAAAGAAACAAGGAAACAGTTTTCTTAACTGGACAAATGAGTTAATAAAAATTCAGCAGTCATACATGGTAAATGCAGGTAGCTGAAAAATCACTAACCTACATCTTTGTGAATTTAATTTGATTATTCTAGTGGTTCTTTTTAAT